GCCTTTTGTTCACTTGGCAGGAACAAAGACACAGAATTGACACAGTTGGAAAAGCTGAGCTATTTTACTTAGAATACTTTAGAGAAAAGGAGGAAGAAGAAAGAAAGGAAGAGTCACTAATTGAATTCCAAGGGGAGTCTATAGCAGTAATTGAAAAAGAAAAAGAAGGTGCAGTAGGCAGTGAACCCAGAGAACAACGAGAATTGAGATCTACTAGAGCAATAAAACCCTCCTATAAAGCTTAACATGGATGAAAGAAAATTGATTACGATTAACATAAATGGACTTAATTCGGCTATTAAAAAAAGGAAAGTATTTCGCAAATTAGATAAATTAAAATTTGATATAATCTTACAAGAGGTACATATTAAAAAGCAACATGAATATATACTAAAACAAGAAAAATTAGGGAAATTATTCACATCACTGGCACAATCGAAAAAAAGAGGTGTGGCATTATATATTAAAAAAACAATTTTGGCAGAACTAATTTATACAGATGATGATGGAAGGATTTTGATGGTGGAGATAACGGATAACAGTGTTAAAACACTTTTAATTGCAATTTATGCCCCGAATGATAAACAAGAAGAATTTTATAGGAAATTACATACAAAAATAACTGATTTGCACTATGTTAATATCTGCATGATGGGTGATCTTAATGGAATAATTAATGACCGGTTGGACTATAAAACACAGAAAACAACAAAGAAAGTTAGAAAGATACTACCAAAATCCTTCCTCCGAATAACAGAAGAATTTAATTTAAAAGATGCATGGAGAGAGAGAAATGCGGAAAGTAAGCAAATAGACACACATCCTGGTCTAAAATAGATATGATATGGATGTCAGCAGAATTATTGACTAATGTACAACAGATTGAAATAGAAACAAGCACATGGGCAGATCATAATCCAGTATCGGTTATCTGGAAAGGATACAAGGAGAGATCCAGATGGACTCTAAATAATATGATTCTGAAAGAAAAATACTTTAAACAGAAAATAGAAAAAGAACTTGTTTTCTTCTTCAAAGAAAATAGAAAAGAGGATACATCTTTACAGAATCTCTGGGACGTGATGAAGGCCTACACAAGATGCTTGATAATAGATTATACTAAGAGAAGAAACAGAAAACAGAAAAAGACATTTAAGACATTAGAGGATGACTATAAAAGACTGGAAAAAGATTTACAGAAGTCCCCACAAAAAAAAGACATTAAAAATAAAATGGATATAATTAAACATAAAATGGGACCAATGGAAAAAGAGGAATTAGCACAAAAAACAGAATTACTTTGAAGATGCAAATAAACCAGGCAGATGGCTAGCTTATAAACTGAGAAAGGAAAGAGAAGCAAGAAGAATTAGCCAATTGATAAATAAAGAAAGACAGGTTTGTTATGGAAATGAGGAGAAGAAGAAAAAATGTACAAGATTACTATGGAAAACTATACTTTCAAGAGAATATTCACGAAGAAAAAATCAAGCAATATCTTCAGAAAGCAAATTTACCTCAGATACCCAAAAATATTGAAACAATTTTAGAACGAAATATAACAATGATGGAACTAACAGAAGCTTTAAAAAAACAGAATGCTGGGAAAGCTCCAGGTCCAGATGGGTTGCCAGTGGAATTCTATAAGACTTTTCAGGAAATGTTGAATCTTCATCTTCTAGAACAGGGGTCCCCAACCACCGGTCCGCGGAACAAGTCCTACCGGGCCGCTGGCTTGCTGGGCGCCGCCATCTTTTTTTGATGAAAAAGTGCTTCCGGTGAGCTTTTCCGGGTAGAAAGCTCACCGGAAGCACGTTTTCATCAAAAAAAAAATGGCGGCGCCAGCACTTCCGGTGAGCTTTTCCGGGTAGAAAGCTCACCGGAAGCACATTTTCATCAAAAAAAAGATGGCGGCGCCCAGCTAATGCCGGTACCGGGCCGCGGCACCCAGCTGATGCCGGTACCGGGCCGCGGCGTAAAAAAGGTTGGGGATCACTGTTCTAGAAGTTATGAATGAAGTTACATTAAAGAAAATAATACCCAAAACATGGAGAGAAGCATATATTACACTTATACCGAAGGAAGATACAGACCTGCAGCAAGTTAAAAATTATAGACCTATGTCCCTATTAAATTCAGACTATAAAATCTTTGCTTCAATTTTGGCAGAAAGTCTAAAAAGATACTTAAATAATTTTATTCATACTGATCAAAATGGATTTCTGCCAAAGAAACAAATCAAGACAATGTGAGAATCATTTTGGATACTCTGGAATATTATGAAGCACACCCTGAGAAGCAAATGGCCTTGATGTTTCTAGATGCTCAAAAAGCCTTTGACAATGTGAGTTGGTGATTTATTTTACTGCAACTGATACAAATGGTCTTTGGTAAGAAATTTATCCAAGCCATTGAAACAATATATCATGAACAAACTGCAAAGGTGATAGTAAATGGAGAATTAACAGAATCCATAGATATAAGAAAAGGGACAAGGCAAGGCTGTCCATTGTTGCCTCTGCTGCTTGTGTTAACATTGGAAGTGTTGAACAGGAATATCAGAGAAGAAAAAGAAATAAAAGGAATGAAAACTAAAAAGGAGGAGTATAAATTGCAAGCTTTTGCAGATGACCTGGTATTTATATTAGAAGACCCAATGGAAACAACACCCACATTAATAGAAAAAAATAGAAGAATATGGAAAAGTAGCAGGTCTGAGAATAAATAAAGACGAAACAAAGATATTAACAAAGAATATGTTAACAAGACAAAAGAAAGAGTTGGAAGAAACTTTAAAAATACAGGTCACGAACAAGGTTAAATACTTAGCGATTTATATTACACCAAGATGCAGTATCCTGAAGGAAGATAACTATGTTAAACAGCAGATTGCGACAGACTTGATGAAATGGGAAAAATTGCAACTATCATTGATTGAGAGAATATCCACAATTAAGATGAATATATTGCCTAGAGTTTTATATTTATTCCAGACAATTCCTATTTGATTAGGGAAAGAGTTTTTTGAAGATTTAAATAGAATTGTGTTGAAATATATTTGGCAGGGTAAAAAATCAAGAATAAAATTAAAACTGTTACAAGATGCAAGAATAAGAGGAGGGTTTGCCTTGCCCAGTTGGGAGCTGTATTACCAGGCGACAAGTTTGATGTGGGTAAAGCAATGGATAACACTAAGGAACAGTAGATTATTGACTTTAGAAGGCCACGACTTGCTGCTGGGATGGCATGCCTTTCTCTGGTATAAGGAAACTAAAACACAGGTATTTTAGAAGACATTATATTCATGAGGCATTGTTTTTGAGCTGGGAGAAGATTAAAAGACAATATTACTTAAAAATTCCAACATGGATATCAACTATTGAAACTTTTTCTTATCCAATAATATATAAAAAGGAACAAACAGTTAGATATGGGGAGCTATTGAATGAAAAGGGTGAACTTAAAACTATGCAAACGTTGCAAGAACAAGGTGTAAAAATGAATTGGTTTTCTTATTTGCAAATACAATCTAGGTTTGATAAAGACTCCAAGGCAGAAGGTATTTATGATAAGTTGACTGACTTAGATAAAATTTTGATTGGTACTGATGAAAAGGTAATTAAAAAACTTTATGGATATCTGTTAGAATTTAAATTGGAGGAGGAGCAAGTTAAAGAAACGATGATTGCTTGGGGGAAAAATTTTGGATATGGGATTGATTTGGAAAAATGGCAAAAATTGTGGTCTCAAAATTATAAAATGACAATGTCAACTGCATATAAAGAAAATTTGTATAAGATGTTTTACAGGTGGCACCTACCCCCGATGAGACTTGCGAGAATGTTTAAGAATAAATCGGATAAATGCTGGAAATGTCATCAGATATCTGCTTCATATTACCATATGTGGTGGACATGTTCAGACGCAAAGAAATATTGGACTAAAATCCACACATGGTTGGAAAAAATAATAAAACAGCATATAGACTTTAAACCAGAGATCTTTTTATTGGGCGTCATACCAGACATATACAATAAAGAACTGAAATATTTGATTGTAAATGTCTTAACAGCAGCTAGAATTGTATTTGTGAAGAACTGGAAAAATGACAAAATACCTATGCAGGAGGAAGTTATCAAAAAAAATTATGGACTATGCTGAAATGAGTAAATTGACATTTGAAATTAGAGAACAAGAAGATAAGCAATTTTATATGATATGGGATTTGTTTTATCAATGGTTGGATAAAAAGGCATGGTAATATAATAGACTTGATAATTTTGTGATAGAAATCTAATAGATTGATATAAAACATGATACAGATATATATAACCACTGGTTTAAAGTATAACATAAATTTTAAGATAAAATGTGGAACATCTCGTATAAAATGATGGAATAAATAGTTTAGTTATGGATGATTAATAACTGATAAATATATAAACATATGTTAATTTGACAATGTGAAGATTGATTTAAATTGTAAGTAAATGACTACAGAAGTATAGCACAAGTGATACGTAACCAACTGACACACTATGTATATAAAATGGAAGAGGATTTTATGTTTTTATGTTATTGTATGTGTATGTTTGTGTTTAAAAATAAAAAAACTACAACAATATTGATAAATTGTGCATGCATAAATAAGATAAATATATAAGAACACATTTCATTGATTTAAACTAATGAGATAGTACTTCAAATCATAGTATGCCTAGTATTCATTTTAATAAATGATAAATGAGATTTGGTCTTGGTATAGAATATGGGCTCCTGGTTTAGAATGTGGATTCTTTTTAAATGGCTTTTTAAATGAGTTCACCAATAGTTTTCTATATTTTGAAATAAATGATTAGATATTCAAAGTACATTTCTGTTAAAACAATAACAAATCACTAGAACTTTTAATATTGAAGTTGATTGGAAGTCAAATTGCACCATACTATATTTATACTAACAAGGTATACATGATGGATTTATTAATATTTACTTTGAAGGCCAGAGAAGAAGAAATGACCAAAAAAGTAAATAAATTGGAGGAACAGCTGGTGCAGTTACAAGAGGACTACAAAAAAAGATTGGTACATGAAGAAAATTGGAATGGTGATGAAGTAAGTTGGTAAACATATTAGTATTTCCAATTTTTCATTATGTTTTTATATTTAGTTTTATTGCAGCCTTATGCAACACAGTTTGCTCATTATATATTATTTGTTTGTTATTTTGTTTGATTGCTATATTTACTCATCTCAACAATTGACTTTGGGTTAGATATATCATAAAATGCAAAAACAAATTAAAAGCAATTAAAATAATACAGAATATATATAATCACCAAGTGCATCTATTGCCATGGATATAATGAAGAAATGGGGCCTTTAGTGCATTCAGATGCCCAGGTGTGTGCATGCAACCAAATTCATGGTCTCGCAAAAGATCAACAGGGTCAGATCATCCTGGTGTTTGAAGGAGAATATTCCAGAAGGCAGGGGCTACAGAGAAGGTGCATCTCCTAGTTCCTGCCAGCCAATATTTTTTGGCTTCTGGGACCTATGATACATGCCAAAATTGCTAGATTGAGTTGGATGGGTGGAAACAACTGGAAGGAGATGCTCTCTTGGGCATTACAGCCCAAATGACTTTAAAGGTGATAACCAGTACTTGATTGCATCTAAAAGTAACTTGCAGCCACTTCTCACAAAACAATGATATTACATGTGTTGAAATCAAATTGTTGAAATCAAACAGTATTGACATTGCCTCATTATAGCAGGGGTGGGATTCAGATTTTTTAACAACCAGTTCTGGGGCGTGGCTTGGTGGTCATGTGACTGAGTGGGCATGGCTAACTTGACATCACTTACATTGAGGGGTGCTTCTCATCTGGCCTCCTGTGACTGTGAGGATGCTGCAATGGTCATGAGTGTGAAAAACAACCATAAGTCACTTTTTTCAGTGTCATTGTAACTTTTAATGGTCACTAAATGAACTGTTGTAAGTCAAGGATTACCTATACAAAAATACAAAAAGCTGCTTTGTTTGCAAAAAGCTGTCCTAAATACTAGTCATTAGATTAAAAATACCCGCAAGCCAGAGTTATAAATCAGGCAGGGTGCCAGAGCACCTTGAGGAATTAAAATAGTTAAAATGCAATGATAACTATCAGCAGCCAACTCTTGCTCATAAAGTGAAACCCATTAGCAGAGAGTTCATTTAAGCTCTTCAGAAAGAGCACTCCCAGGAGAAGCAATCCTTAGATCCATTTGCACCACTTAAAGACACAGCTGGTCTAACTCATCTCACAAGATATCCTAAGGAAATCATCCAGATTTAAGGAAAGATCACACACACACCCCAGAAAGGCAGTTTAAAAAATCAGTGCCAAGCTTACATCCTGCCTCTTGGAAGTACACCCCAAAAGGACAGTGCCAGATACCACTAAAGCAGTGAAGGAAGACCCCCAGATAAAAAAAAGAAACCATGAGGCAGGAAAAAATTCAAACACAGTACAAATAATTAAATCACAACGGTAGCTGTTGGTTGTTAAACCAATTACCAGAATAAATAGACACAGGAACTAGCTAGATTTCGCAAACCAGTTTCTTTTCAGGAACAGAGATTAACCTTTTTCCTTCCAAACAAAGCTGAAGAGGGAAAATTATCCCATCAATAAACACAGGATTAAACATCACCAAGCACAGAATTAAACTTCACCAAAAACCAGTTTTAGACCAAAACTCAAAAAGGATATGTAAACTCATGTTTGAATGTCAATCTTTCTAGCTAGCCAAGAAGCCTTGCTGAATGTCACTCATCTTGGTTCCCTGTCACTAAAAGTTTGTGTTGAGGTAATTCCCCGTTAGGAGAATGAGCGCATACAGGGAGACGTATTTGAGAGAATTGTTTGAATAATACACACACAGTACACAGATACACTGTACAGTAAATGTAGGTTTTCATTTCCAGAAAGGTTTAAGCAAAGTCCAAAATAAGCAGTCCAAAGTCATTCACAGGTAAAATCAGTTAGTTTTCATCCAGGGATAATCCAATAACAAATTCTAGTGTCAAAAACAGTTCAGTATCAGACTTACATTAAATCCAGTAATATCAGTCAATTAGAAGAAATGGAGCAACGGCAATACTTTCCAACAGAAGGAAACAGAGATACTCACTCAGACACACTCTCTTCTGAGACTAAGACTAAACAACCCAGGTTTCTGGCTCCATCTTATGGCTGTTTGAGAAACCACACCCAATTGCATGCTCTTGCATTCCCTTAAAGATGTAGTACTAAAATGTTTATCCTGGTTTATATATTTCTAACCCAAATAGCTGTTAGGTGACTTATATTCCTAACATTCTCCCCTTTTGGGTAAGACAATATATACAACCTTAAATTGTAAGTCCATAATCTTCACAGCTAGCCTTCTGCTTTAAAGAGCCTTGGGCCTTTGTAAAATGATCTGCTATATTGTTTTCTGACATACAGTATTCTAGCTTAATCATCTTACTTTGCACACATTGTCTCACATTTAAATATCTTAAATCTGTGTGTTTCGTTCTTGTTTTAACAGCAATATTTGAAGCCATCTGTATTGCTGATTGGTTGTCTTCGTAAACTACAATAGAATCTGTTATATTAATTCCCATATCAATTAATAATTGTTTATTCAAAACTAAATCTGTACATAATAAAGACAAACATGAGAATTCAGCCTCCATTGTTGACAAACTTAGATGTTTCTGTCTAATAGATCTCCATCCAATCAATGCTTCTCCCAATAATACAGCAGTACCCGATGTAGATTTTCGTGTATTTATGTCTGTAGCAAAACTTGCATCAGCATATGCAGTCAAATTCAGTTCATCTTTTGGCTCCAAATACAATGCATAATGCATTGTCTGTTTCAGATATCTTAACACACGTTTAGCAGCTTGCCAGTGCCTGTCAGTTGGCTCAGTGTTAAATCTCGCTAATTGATTAACACTGTATGCAATATCTGGCCTTGACCAATTACTGAGATAAGATAAACTACCAATCAAAGACTGATAAATGTTCTTATCAAAAATAGGACTGTGAACATCACTATGGCTAAACTCCTGGCTCATCGGTGTTTTAGCCGGCTTACAAAGTTCCATTTTATAACTTTTTAGTAATTGGTTAATTTTATCTGCTTGTGAGATCTTGTATCCTCCCCTAGTTCTATCTACCTTTAAACCAAGATAATGTTTGATTTCTCCTAACTGTTTTATCTTAAATTTCTTTTCCATAGTGAAATTATCTCAGTAGCTTCTTGTTCAGTTTTGGTGATTAATGCTATGTCATCAGTAAATAATAACAATAATGACATTATACCATTAGTTTCTCTTTTAAACAAACATGGATCAGCCATGCCAGCTACAAAGCCTATTTTAGTCAATTCTTTAACTATACATTGGTTCCACTCATATCCTGATTGCTTTAAACCATAAAGACTCTTTTTCAATCTCCAGCAATCATTATTATCAGTATTATCATTTTTGAGACCTAAAGGTTTCTTTAAATATATAGTGTGTTGCAATGGTGCATGCAGATATGCTGTCTCTACATCCAAATGATTTACAATGTATTTCTCCTTAGCTGCCCACACTAATGCTGCCCTTAATGTAGTAGCCTTCAGACTAGGCGCAAACACTTCATCGTAGTCATTTGCTGTCTGATTAAACCCTTGTGCTACTAACCTGGCTTTATGGGTAACAGTCCCATCTACACCTGTCTTTAGCTTATATATCTATTTACATCCCATGGCATGTTTACCTGGTGATAAAGTAACATTTTCGTATACCTCCAGTCCTTTTAATGATTCCAGTTCCTTATCCATTGCTTTCTGCCAAGCAGCCTGATCCTTAGCAGGAAACAGTTTTAGTTCACTATAATTACTTGGAACTGTATTCACTTGGCATACAACACTAGCCTGATATCTATCAGGTGGTCGTGTTACACGGGTTGAACGTCTTGGTATTACAGGGCTAACTAGTGGACTTTCCTGTGCCACTTGCTCCTGTTCTTCTATCTCCTCCTGTTCCTGTTCTACTACTTCCTCCTGTTCTTCCTCTTTAATGGCTATTTGTTGTTTACTGATTTTATCTTTAGGGACTATTTGGGTGTCAATAATAATATCATTGCTGGATTCCTGTTCCAGTTTATTTCACCCAACGTGCTCGAGAAATTTTGCACTAGCACTACAATAAACATGAGCTGTGCCTTGATCCCAAAATCTAAACGATCTGTGGTTGGCCTCATAACCCACAAAAAATAACTTCTTAGCTCTATGTTGCCCTTTCAGTCTTACTTGTGAGGGAATATGCACCCATGCTGGAGCTCCAAATGTGTGTAGGTAACTTAAATTTGGCTTTCTGCCATGCCAACGAGTGAATGGCAATTCACCAGTTGTTGTATTAACTACATTGTTTAAAACATGGTTACTACACATTATGGCTTCACCCCACAGTGTTTCAGGTAAACCTGAATCAGATAACATAGTATGAGCCATGGCTTGTAATGTTTGCCCTCTTCGTTCTATAAACAAGTTATGTTGTGGTCTGTAAGGCACAGAACGTTTATGCTCAACACCAGCCAATTTCAGCATAGTTTGGAATCTTTTGTTAACAAATTCAGTCCCATTATCAGTGACTAAAGTAATTACTTTACTTTTCATTTTTCTCTCAGCAAACCTTAGCCAGTTAAAGAAATGTTGGAATGTTTCTGTTTTGTTTTTCATAAGATAGCAGAAACCATATCGTGAGTAATGGTCCATTATACTCAAAATATAACAGGCACCTCCTAAACTTGGTTTCTTAGGACCAATTATGTTAGCAAACACAACCTCTAAAGGTTCTTTGGTTTTAAACCCATTAAGTCTGTTTGCTGGAGTAACCTTACTCTTTTCTTGAGTACAAGCATTACAGTGTAAATACTTGCTACAGGGTTTCAATTTTACTCCCTCTGACAATTCCAACAGTTTGTTTGAGCATTTTGAAATTAATGTGCCCTAGACGTTTATGTAGTAAATGTATACATGCATCATGTGGCTTAACATTGTTGTAAACTGAGTTAGCCATCTTCAGCTGATCATCATGTATTACATATAAATCATTTTTTAAAGTAGCAGTGACACTTTTACCCTCTTTCTCTATTATACAGTTATCTCCCCTAAAGGTTACTACATAACCAAGATTAACTAAAGCCCTTACTGATAACAAATTAAATTTCAGTTTAGGTACATATAACATAGTTAAATGTTCATTTATACAAGAATATGCAGTACCTTCACCTGATGCTTTAATCTTCCATCCATTTGCCAATGATACATGTTGTTTACTTGTGGACATCTTTACAAACCTTTTTCTATCTTTAGTAATGCATTGCGATGCTCCACTATCAACAACCCACAAATCATGGTTTACAGTTGAATTGCTAAACATAGCTAAACTAACATTCTTCTTAGCCTTCTGGTGTTTGCCAGTATTCCGTCCTTTTCTTTTCTTACAGAATCTAACTATATGTCCCCTAGCCCCACAAGAAAAACATTTCCTAACAGTATAGGCAGTTGAAGATAAATCCTCTTCTTGTGGTTGTTCCTTCCTCAGTTGGTTTCTATCCAGCCGTCTTCTTGCTTCTTCTAACAACCTTCCAGTTATGTCAGTCAATGTCAGTTTATCTCTGGGCAGTACTTCCAGTGAAGATACATAGTCATAATAACTTTCATCCAACGAGGAAAGAATGATGTAAACTTGATGCAGCTCTGAAAATATCAGTTCCTTTTCATGTAGCTCTTGAAAAGTTCTTTTCATGAAGTTTAAATGAGTTAACATATCTCCACCTTTCAGAAGACGTGCTCTAAACAGTTTGTGTGTAAGATGTATGTGTGCACCTACACTGTCACGAACATAAACCTTCTTCAAATTCTCCCAACACTTAGCAGCAGACTCTTCTCCATGAATATGGACTAGCTGCTGGTCACTCAGTGTTAGTCCAATTATACAAAGAGCTCGTTTGTTGTTCTGGTTAAAGTCAGCAAGCTTCTTGGCATCATCCTCATTTTCTGGATCCCAAGCATTTACATCTGGTGGGTCTTGAACTACATTCCATAAACCTTCTTTACGCAGAAGTAGACTGCACTTCATAGACCAGGAAACATAGTTTGTTCCATCCAACCGGGTTATCAGTGATAGACTTGTTGAAGTGACTTGTGCCATCTTTACCAGGATAGTAAACCACAATTAAACAGTAAACAGCTGTCTGTATACAGTACTGTGCATTCCCACTAACTCTCAGTTATCTGAGCCTGGTATGGCCTGGGCCCATAACCAGTGTTGAGGTAATTCCCCGTTAGGAGAATGAGCGCATACAGGGAGACGTATTTGAGAGAAGTGTTTGAATAATACACACACAGTACACAGATACACTGTACAGTAAATGTAGGTTTTTATTTCCAGAAAGGTGTAAGCAAAGTCCAAAATAAGCAATCCAAAGTCATTCACAGGTAAAATCAGTCAGTTTTTATCCAGGGATAATCCAATAACAAATTCTAGTGTCAAAAACAGTTCAGTATCAGACTTACATTAAATCCAGTAATATCAGTCAATTAGAAGAAATGGAGCAATGGCAATACTTTCCAACAGAAGGAAACAGAGATACTCACTCAGACACACTCTCTTCTGAGACTAAGACTAAACAACCCAGGTTTCTGGCTCCATCTTATGGCTGTTTGAGAAACCACACCCAATTGCATGCTCTTGCATTCCCTTAAAGATATAGTACTAAAATGTTTATCCTGGTTTATATATTTCTAACCCAAATAGCTGTTAGGTGACTTATATTCCTAACAGTGTTGCTTCATTATTCAATTATTTCTTCAAAGTGCTGATTGTCCAGGGAAGTATTTTCTCTCAACAGCAGTGTAAAAATCTTAAAACAACCCTTCCCCTTTAAGAAAGCCAAGCCTCACAAGTTCCGGAGACAGTAAGTGTAGGCTGTCTGCCAAGAATGTAATAAGGGTGGAAAAAAACAAAAGGAGATTCCTTCTAAGGAAGCCTTGCTGAATTCACTCATCTTGGTTCCTTGTCATTAAAAGTTTCTTTCCAGCATCTCTGCTTCGTTATTCAATTATTTTTTCAAAGTGCTGATCCCGGCTGGACGAACTCCAACGGGGGAGTATTTCCTCCCAACAGCAGTGTAAAAAGCTTAAAATAATCCTTCCTCTTTAAGAAAGTCAAGCAAAGTACCAGCAAAGGAGAAAAGAAAAACTCCAGAGAAGCTCCAGAGACAGGAAGTCTAGGCGTACTGCCAAGAATGTAATAAGGGTTAGCAGAGAGGCAGTTTCTATAAGCAACACCACCAGAATGTTTCCTTCCTGCCTTTCTTACAGTATTAGCCCTGTAAAGTGGGGAAAAAACGAAGAGATTTCTTCCAACAACCAGTTCTCCAAACTCCTTTGAAAGTTAACAGCAGGTTCTAGTGAATAGACTCCATTCTTACATTATAGTCATTATACTAGGTATTATTTGTTATTCTTGGCACAGTAATAATAAAACAGGTCAGGGGCTTCACTTCTATTTTGAATCAGTGTATGTTATAGCATTATTTTTTCTTTCTTAAATTAGTTTGTCAAATTTTAGCAAAATAGTTTTCATATCTTGTTTCAATAGCTCAGAAACAACTATCCTTAGGTGCCTTGTGTTATATGCAGGAAGTGTTAGAGTTTGAAAATTAATTTATTTGATTTATCGGTAGCTTCCCTTTAAATTAATGGGAACAGTTACTCAAATCTTAAATCAACTAATTTTATGTGTACTAACTTGTACCCAGTATGGATATTAACACTCCCTCATTCTTGTTCTTCCAAGTAATAACAAACAGCTTAATCTATTACACTATAGCATCATCTATTACAAAGTAAGTTTATGCTAAGAAGACAAAAAACAGTATCTCGTCCTTTATTATTATAGCATTGTGTTTTTTTCTGAGACAATATGGAAGTCAGATTTTGCATCCTGACCACTCACATCATTACAAGAAACTCTTGCATGTTTTTAACAGGTTATAAGCATATGTTTTACAGATATGAGAGAAAGTTAATTTTCAGATATGACACAGAAATATTTTTTAGATTTTAGCAAGAAATTGTGATGAAATTTCAAATTATTGTGTAGACCACAATTCATTATTTATATTATAGAATTTGGAACTGGGTATGCAGTGGAACTGGCTATTTGTACAATGAAAAGGCAAAGTGTTGGTTTCTGCTATATGCTGGGTTCATAATTTCACATAAATGATTTTTCAGAAGTATTGTGGAGACCATACTATACTATATTAGTATTGCTTTTCAATATGGACTTGACATATCAAATATTAACCAATGGAAAAAATGGCATAAATGTGGGTGCAAGATACTTGTGCAATGTTTTCTATTGTATTTTAAAAAGTGTTTAATAAATTTTGTCTTTTTGTATTCCCTAGGAAAAAATAGCAGAACTTCAGGTAAGAATGATTTCACAAATATATTTGTTTTTAATGTAGCAATGTCAGTGAAGCATTTTCCTCTCATGCTTACAATACTAACAAATAACAAAAGGATTAAATTTTGCTGTTAAAATTTCCATGTGGATGTTTGGCTGAAGATTGTGTATATATTGTATTTCAGGCTCAGCTAGCCCAAAAGACAACATCAGTTAATGATTCAAAGTTGAAAGAACAGGAGTTCAGAGAACTGGTAAGAAACTTCTCTTGGGAGAAAAGGGAGAAATTCAGTTTTAGCTCTAAAATTCATACATGGTCATGTCCTTTTTCAGTGCCATTGTAACTTTGAATGGTCACTAAATAAACTGTTGTAAGTCGAGGATTACCTGTACAAAAGTACAAAAAACTTTGCTTAAAAAAACTTCCGTAAATACCAATCATTAGATTAGAAATGAGGGAATACACACTGAAGATCAGTGACAGTCACAGCCATTATGGAAACTTAAACCATTCTGTCTGAATACCTTTTCATCAGCAAAATCTGCAACCCAGAGTTATAAATCAGGCAGGGTGCCAGAGCACTTGAGGAATTAAAATAGTTAAAGTGCAACTATAATTATCAGCAGCCAACTCTTGCTTATAAAGTGAAACCCTTTAGCAGAGAGTTCATTTAAGCTCTACAGAAAGTGGGTGGTCACATTTGGGCTACAAGAGAGACAAATTAACAAAGTATATAGGAGACCCAGGTTCTGCCCTCCCAAGCTTGTCGGGATCGCAGTAAAATTAGTACATGCCACAGATATCTAAATAAACTTCAAGCCTGGTGCCATGTTACTAAGCTTTATTATCATGAGAGAAAATGAAAATGAATTGGAGGGAGGATCCATACCCCACCTCCTTTTTAAAATCTTACTATCAGTGAGCAATCGTGCCCTGGCCACTCTGAAGCAATGTAAGAGATTCCTGTCCCAAAGGTGCTTCTTCAAGAGGCAAGTGGACTTTCTGGAAACCAAGAAAGTCCACTTACCTCTTGAAAAAAGCACCTTTGGGACAACCATGACTGAAGAATCCCCATAGATAAGAGACTCCTGTGCTCAGTGAACTGACAAAACATTCTTTCCCATTCAGGAGAAACAATCCTTAGATCCATTTGCACACCGGCTGGCCTCACTCACATCACAAGATATCCTAAGGAAATCATCCAGGTTTAAGGAAATATCACATGCCCCCAGAAAGGCAGTTAAAAAAATCAGTGCCAAGCTTGCATCCTGCCTCTTGGAAGTACAGCCCAAAAGGAACCAGTAGAGCAGTGTAAAAAGCTTAAAACAACCCTTTTGTAAGCCCTATTTCAGAAATCCAGAAACTCAGTCAACACATTTACTCACAGGTTTGGTGAAAAGTAATTTACTAGATTGGTTTCTTCCAGTGGGTAAACAACGGCAATCCCCAGCAAAGCCAGCGCTGAGAGTGAACGCCTCTCAGCGCCTTTTATGCCCATCCCCTTCCCTAGCTAATTAACCCCACACGCTGCTGCCCCGCAATCATAATCGCAACTATATCCGACGCCCAGAACACACCTAACCCCAAAGTGCTGACTCATAAGCCAAAGAAAAGGAAACCACAATAAGATGAGTTCCCCCCCATCGCTGGAACGCAATACAATCCTTACGCCCTGCAATGAAAGATAGTTCGGCAGGAACTTGCAATGGATCCACATCGTTACGCACTGTAACTGGAACAGCCAACAGTCTCGTGTTGTTTCAGCGAGGGGAACAGCGAGTTGGGTAGGAGGCGCAGATTTGGAGACTCATCTCCCACTCCCTATTAGATGGCTGCCAATGTGTCAAGCACAATCAGTGAAGCCCGACAGGTGGCCCCCTCTAGCAAGGCTCTGTCTGTAATAAAGGGAATAGTTAGGATGATGTAATGCCCCTTGTTCATACCTCCCACCTGCCTTCTTAGGATATTTTTTATGGAATTGTTGACATAGACGAGTAGCAGACACATCTTTATATGATACCCATGAAGCATCTGCTAATGGATAGCCCTCCCATCTCACTAAATATTGTAGGATTCCTCGCCGACATTGGGAATCAAGTATTTCCTTAATCTCGTAATGATCATCATGGATTGGGCCAGGGGTCCTTACTCTGGGCTCTTGTCTAGTCATATCAGCTTGTTTAAGAAGACTGATATGAAATACAGGGTGAATCCTTTTAAAACGTGAAGGTAGTCGAAGCCCAACTGTGACCGGATTTATAACTCGTATCACTAAGAACGGTCCAATATATTTTGGACCTAATTTTTTATTAGCAAGACCCAACTGTATATATTTCGTTGAGAATTATACCCAGTCACCTTCATTATATTGGACTTGTGCAGATTGTTTTTTATCCTCCTGACGTTTGTACTCTGCTTGTGCTTGTTTTAAGGCAACTTTTACTGTTTCCCATTGTTTCTGTATTATCCTTTTGGTTATTGTATTGAGGAAGCCACGATAAGGCGTCCGTCATGAAATTTCTTCCCAATGGAACATATTTTAATGTAAAGTTAAACCGTTTAAAATACAATGCCCACCTAATCTGCTTTGGGGATAATCGGCATGGGCTTTGCAATGCTTCCAAATTCTTATGATCGGTCCACACCTCAAATGGATGTGGACCTCCTCCATAAATGTCTCCAGGTGAGCAAGGCCCAACGAACTGCAAATGCCTCCTCCCAAATTGCCCAGTTGCGTTCAGTCGAACTAAATTTTCTGGATGTATAAGCACAGCTGCAACAGTCCTTCTATGTTTGTCTGCAATAGGACAGCTCCCACTGCTACACCGCTTGCATCTGCCTGGATAACAAACGGCAGATTTGGATCAGGGTGTTTCAACACCGGCTCTTGAGCAAACAAATGCTTTAAATTTTCAAAAGCTTCCTGATATGTTGTAGTCCATGGTAATCCAATTCTTGTTTTTGATTTTTCAATATCAATAGATTTAGTGTGCAATAGTTCGGTTAAGGGTAAAGCTATGTCAGCAAAGTGGGGTATAAATTGACAATAGAAATTTGCAAACCCCCAAAAACTTTGTAATTGTTTCTTTGTGTTTGGGGCTTTCCACTCCAAAACAGCTTTAACTTTTGTGGGGTCCATTTCAATACCCAGTGCAGATATGCGATATCCTAAATAGTCCAACTGCCAGGTGTGAAACTCACATTTCGACAATTTGACATATAACTGGGCATCCAGCAATTTTTGAAGCACCTGTCGCACTAATTGAATATGCTCATATTCATTATCCAAATAAATTAAAATATCACCCAGATAAACCAAAATGCCCCTATATAAATGTTCGTGCAACACTACGTTTATCAGTTGCATAAAGACCGCTGGAGCCCCCTGTAAACCAAACAGCATCACATTGAAATAATAACTACCGAGAGGGCAATTAAACATTGTTTTCCATTCATCTCCTGTCCGTATTCTCACTCTATAATACGCTTCTCTTAGATTGAGTTTTGTAAATATTCGTCCTTTTGCAAAGGTAGATAGTAAGTCCTTAATCAGTGGTAATGGGTACAATGGTTCCAGACAGATCGTGTTTAGGCCTCTATAGTTGACACATAAACGAAGTCCTCCATCCTTCTCACGAAACAACACTGGTGCTGCCCTATGAGACCTTCCAGGGGTGATAAACCCCCTCTTTAGATTTTTATTGATGTACTGTCTCATTTTGTCTAACTCACGCGGAGTCATTGAATACATCCGTGGTTTAGGCAAAGGAGCCCCTGGAATTAATTCTATGGCACAGTCTGTAGTGCGATGAAGGGGCAAGCAATCAGTGCCCTCTTCATTGAATGCATCAGACAAATCTGCATATTCTCTGGGATATTGATATTGGGGTATTCCTTGAGTTTTTTATTTAACAATTTACTAGCTATCAGATGTTTTTCATTATGCTCTGGTAGGATAAGGACCAGTCACTAATCGTATCTTTCGATAGCCGTTCTCCCAATGTATGGTCGGATCCCATTTATCCAGCCATACCAATCCCAAAATTAATGCTTCACTCATGTGAGAAACCACCACAAAAGAAATCCATTCCCAGTGCTCTCCCATACCATTTTGATATATTCTGTCCTATGAGTTGCTGGAGTTCCATCTAGTATAGTCCCATCCACCTGTTCAAACTTAATTGGAACATCCAATTTAATAACCCGTAACTGCAATTTCTCCACCACCACATTAGTAATTAGACACCTTGTACATCCTGAATCATTTAATGCCCCCACTTGAACAGTGTAATTAGTATGTTTGTTTATTCCACAGAGACACAGGTATAATAAAAGGATTAATAGGGCTACTTACCATAGGATCGTCAGGCATGATACTCTCCATTTCACTTTCACACGAAGTATTGGATGGAATAGTAAATGGTTTTTCTGCACTCTGGCTTCTGGGTGGGTTACTCACTATTCCTCTCGCCCTCTCATGCTCTTTCCATTCTTGTCTCCCTCGTTTATCTCGATGCAAAGATGAAGGCAGTTGGGGGCCCGTCATCATGGTTAATGACGGTACAGGACATTCCATGGCCCTTTGACCGGGCCTATCACAACGAAAACACCGAAATGTCCCTCTGTCTCTGCCCTTTGAATTGGAGTTTGCCTTGTAATAGTACCTAAAGGCCTTATTGGTGGTGTAATCCCTTCCAGTCTTGGGTGCAATCGACATAAACCATCGTCCAATTCAACTGCCACTTGATACCACTGTGTTAACTTGGTAAACGAACCATGATAAAGATAAGCCTGGTTTAAATTACTTTCCAGGCCTTCTCTAAACAGATGGATTAACAAACTCTCCAGTATGAATGGTAGTTTACTAACCACCCTCCTAAACTCCCCTATATACTCCCGAGCTGACCGACCCTTTTGCTTGGTTGCTAACAAATCCCCCTCTGCTTGTTTGTCAGCTGTTCTCAGCTACTCTTTGGCACAAATGCAGGGAGAAAATAAGACACTCTTCACTTCAGTATTTAGTAACACAAAAGCTTGTTGTTTATTCCTTCCTCCGCAAGGAGTCCAAGATAATAGCTAAGCAAACAAAATAAAGTTGGATCTAACCTGACTTTCCTGGGATTCTATATTTATAATAATTTCCCCTCATTACCCTTCATTACCCCTGATTACCCTTATTACCCATGATTACCGTTTTTAATGATAATTATTCGTATGAACTCAATCACATGAATCATGGTTAATGCGTGGAGC